TCCTCACAGAATAACTATTATATTTTCGAGTATTATGAATGATTATTATCGCACCTCGAGATCCTGAGTAAGCTGGCTTGGGTCAATATCACGAAATAGCGCCTCTACGGATACCAAATGAATGTCAAAGCTGAATTTTCCTATCTTCATTTGCGTCTTGTGTTTTTCCAGCTTCTTATCAGGCTTGATAATATACATCATGGCAACATTATTTCCCAAACAGTCTTCAAGAACCTGTGCGAAAGAAAAAGGTCGAATAGTTGACTAGTAGTGTTGAAAACGGTTCAATTTAAGGTTTAATGCTTTAAAGTAATTTAGGTACCTTTAATATAGGCTTCACGCTATGCCAAGTAGTATCCTTTCGCATATCGATAATTACAGCAAAACCGAGTTTTTTGACGTTTTCCTCCGGAAGATAAGTTAAGTAGCGCACAAGACGATATAAGTCCTCTATTTGCAACTGGTCGGCACGCGAATTAGCGGGAAAGCATAAAATTGGGCCTCCTTTTCTGGTTCTTCCTCCAGGGAGAAGGGCGATTTTACCGCGTAGTAGGTCCTGCAAATGCACGGCTTGCAGGGTTTTAGGACAAGATACCCTGCTCTGAGATGCGCTTACAGCAGCCCTAGTAGATACGGATGCAGAAGTACTAGAGCCATGACTAGCATATCCAGTAGTGTTGCTTAATGTACTGCAAGGAGATGGAGCTTGTCTTGAGTGGAATTCATGAAGTTGTGTGACCATGGGCTGACTCGTCCCATAATGCATTTCACCAGAACTTTCCATTGTCTTTGGAGGCTGTGACGGAAGATTTGCATGATGTATATGCCTAAATAAGTGCTGTTGTTGATGGAAATGCTGGCCCTGATGGTTATGCATATATTGTAGATGGTGAGGAATTGCATGGTGATGATGCTGCTGACGGTCTGAAAGGTTGTGTCCGTGGCTTTGCGGGAGTTGGTTTAAGGAAAGGTGTTGACAATGAGTTGGTAAGTGAGGCCCCAGACGAGGTTGACACTGGTGGGCACCCTTGCTGTGAATGAGATTAAAGCCTGGATCGAGTTGATTTTGCAGGGAATATGGAGAAACCCGATAAGGTTGCTGGTCTTGA